AGAGTCTCACTGTTGCCCTGGGTAGACTGCCATGGCATCACAGCAACCTCGAACTTTTGGGCTTAAGCAATTCTCTTCTCTCAGCCTCCGAAGTAGTTGGAACTACAGGCGTCTGCCACAACGCCCAGCTATTTTTTTGTTGCAGTTGTCATGGTTGTTTAGCAGACCGGGGGCTGGGTTTGAACCCACCAGCCTGGGTGTATGTGGCCGGCGCTGCCCACCTCTATCTTTCTAATTTAGGGGAGAAATGGTCCTTGTAAGATCTATAACTAGAAATAATAGTTTGAAGAGATAGCAAATTAAGTTATATTTCATTGTTTCGAGATACTTTGCTTAAAGAATTACTTCTCAAAATTACCCTACCTACCCAGATCTTTGGGGACACTCTGAATGAAAAGTGGAACTAATCTATTCACCCCCTGCCTACCCCTACTACTGCCACTACAGTCTACGGTAATTACTCTTTTTCAGAAAGATACTTAGAAAAGAACTATCAAATCACAAGATAAAGTGAGATTATGTTTTTCATTCACAGTCCCATTTATTTATTTAGAAATGCTGCCTCTGTGAGCACCAAACCAAAGTGTGCCTATTCGTACCACCACTTAAACATTTCCTGAATACCTGCCAAGTACAATGGAATGCTCCCCAAAGGACTGCAGCATTAGCACATGTCTACTCCACCAAACAAAAAATTCAGTGAAAGCTTTTCCAATGAAGCTGGATGATGTGCTCTTTATATGCACGTTCAGGCACGCTACCAGGCCCTAGAGCTAACACTCCGCTTGTTCAAGAGGGAAGCTCTGTAATGAATCTCAAAACTTAAAACAGCATATTTACTTCAGGCAAGACTGAGGTGTGGAATATTCTGAAAAACCTGTTTCACGCTCACAACGATAAAAAAAAAAAAAAAGTAGAAAGAAAGCTGACCTCAATTCATAGTATTTTGGCCCAGACATACTTGGAAATGAGAATTCTCAACTCCAGATCTATCCGGAGTTGAAAGCTGAATTGAGGACTGCAGCACCCAAAGGCGCCCACTATTCAGGGCCAGCGGTGGGCAAAACCAAGAGCCTTTTCTTGGTCCCCTGGGCAAGCCCTGGAGACAGGTCAGCATGCGGGTACGACTGAGACTCCGCGCCCCAGTCCAGGCGTGCCCCCAAAAGCGCCCCCAGGCCTGGGGGACCCCGGGGGGAGGGGCTCGGCTCCGAATACTCCTCCCCCGGCCCCTGAGAACACCGAATCACAAATGCGGATGCCATTAAAGGAGGCCTGTCGGCAAGTGGGAGGGACGGAGAAATACACACCAAAGGGGACGAGAACTGGAGCGAAGCCTCCCTGTGAAGAACGGACTCTAGGGGCAGCCACGCCCCCCACCCCCAACTCCAACCCCGAGCGCGGCGAGGCGAGCGCCGAGCCCCGCATGCTGCCTGACAAGACCCAGGCGTAAGGCTGGCGCCGGAAAGGGCTCCTCTGGCACGCGAGGAGCACCGCCGCGACCCTCGCAGGCGACCGCTCGCTGCCACTGACCTGTGCCTGCCGCCGCGCGACTGCCCGCTCCGCCGCAGTCACCGCCTCCCTACGTTCACGCCGCCAGAGCAGCCGTCTCCTGCACTGCGCCCCAGGCCGGCCGCAGGCACCCCATTCCCTCCCTGCCCAGCCTCCGCCTGTTTACAATGATTGGGACAGAACAGGCCGAGCCGGACCAGCGCGCACGCGCACCCCCTCCTCCCGCCGCGGCCGGCTTCACGGACCCTCCTCTCTACGCTCTGACGGCTGAGGCCGCCCGAAGGCTAACACCCTTTGCCCTCGCGCGGGGCGCGCTGGGAGGCGTAGTTCTCAGAGCCACGGCGCCCACCTCCCCCCGGGCCTCTGTTCCAGGAAGTAACTTCAACACCCAGGAAGCACCGCGCCTCTTCGGGCCGGGCTCCCTGAGGAGGCAGGGAGCGCGCGAGAGAACGCGCCAAGCGCCAGTGCTCTGCAGGCGCCTGCGCAGTCCCGGGTCTTGGGGGACTGGGTGGGACGTTCACCTACCCGCGGCGAGCGCTGGTGGAGGGAGTCGGGTGGCGGCTGCCGTAGTGATCTGGAGGCGGGATAGCTTTCCTCTTCACGCTCTGGGCAGCCGGTTCCTCAGCTACTGAAGCTGAGAACTTTTCTGAGTCAGCGCGCTTTACTTGTTCTAACCAGTTAAACCAGCCTGGGAGGCCGGCCGCGGGGTGGGGCGTCTTTCCACCCTTAAACTGGGAGGGGAGCTCTGTCTGAGGTGAGGACTCTTGCTAAGGGTAGGAGGAGTTGGAAAAAGGGAATGCCGCCCCTGTGCGGACAGACTTGCTTAAAATTCCGTGTTGGGACCACCCGCAGAATCCCTGAAGTGGGTGTTGTTTGTTGAGTTGATCCGTTGGCTCAGCATTTACAAAGCGGCGCCTGAAGTCACACTGCCCTGCAGCATGCGAAAGCTTGCGAGTAGAAAGAACTGAATTTCTTCCAGAAGTCTTTCACTCAGGTTTGAAGAATAGCACCGCTAATGCCTCTTGAACTCTTGTTTTATAAACTTTGGCAGTTTATTAGAGGGAGGAGATTTTGGAGTCGATGATCCCTCACATCTCTTTCATTCCTACGTCCAACACGCTTTAGAACTTCATTCCCTGTTTAGATTGACAGCCCCAGTACATTGGCTCTATGATCCACATCAGCTTTCCTCAAATCTGACAGTAAGTCTGGCATTCATATTCTGCCTTTCCTACCCACTCTCCTCGTCGGCCTTGGGTTCAGGGGCCTCCTACAGTTGGATACGGTGGTGGTCTGTGGTATCCGTTGGTTTCCTTCTCTGGCTAAGGACTTCTCATTGCCCTTCTAGCAGGCGAACAATAATACTGTATGTCTCAGACAACACTGATGGGCTTAGGGGTGGGTACTGACCCACACTGGGCATTAAGGAGACGTTGCTCGAAGTTGCTATATGGATACAGAGAAGGGGGCAGGAATATATTCACTGATGTAAATCGAAATTAATGAACCAACAGGGGGAGAGGGGTAAAGGAGCAATGGAACAGGAAAAAGCAAGAGCTGGCAGAATGGAGACTGGGTTCATTTCAAAGCAGTGGTTTGTGCAACTGTGAGCATGTGAGCCTAAGTGAGTGAGCCCATTCATTCATTCATTCATTCATAATTTAGGGGAAATTTGTGTGGAGATAGAACGTATTTGTTAGCTACTTCCTGAGCATTTATTCATCACATGTTAAGTTATCCTGCATAATCATTCACTCTGGCAACCAGGAATTTTCAGACATGGTTATGTAACCCAATCATAATCAATGAGCCCGTAAAGACTAGGGTTCGGGCTTCTTAGTAAACTGCACCTTCCTTGCTCTTCGTGTATGGTGTTAAGTAGAGCCTGAGGATGACGTGAATACTGTCAAAAGAATGCTGGAAAGATAGAGAAAAATTGTGTTTGGTGGTGTCATTAGAGCTCACCTGTTTGATACCATATTATTCAGATTTTTGAACCACAAATTTACTGTGTTGTTTAAGCCAGTTAGTATTAAAATTCTAAAAGTGATCCTAACTAATTCAGTTGTATTTCTTTAAAATACACTGCAGTCCTGACTAATATAGGTTCCTACTTAAAAAGAAACTGTAAAAGGGACTTTCAGTTATGGCTGTATGACATGGTCAGTAATTTTCTATACACAAAACAAGTATAAAACTGGATAACAGTGGCACACGCACAACACAAATCCATCTCACGGCACTGGAGATCAACCAAATATAAAAAAACAAGTTGAGAAACATCTATTCTTTAAAAACTGACAGAACTCCCAGTATAAACAGTAGATGTCTGTTCTTTTTCTGCCTAAGGCTGCTTCTCTCTCACCCTGTTGCCCCAAAACTATAGTTTTACTAGTATGGGCAGCTGTAGCGAAAAATCTACCAGCTTTGCCAGAGGGAAGGATTCTATTTGTGATGGAAGGTAAAAAAAACTCAAGCGGCTCGGCGCCTATAGCTCAACCGGCTAAGGCGCCAGCCACGTACACCTAAGGTGGCAGGTTCGAATCCCCAGCCCGGACCTGCCAAACAACAATGATGGCTGCAACCAAAAAATAGCCGGGCGTTGTGGCGGGCGCCTGTGGTCCCAGCTACTTGGGAGGCAGAGGCAGGAGACTCGCTTGAGCCCAGGAGTTGGAGGTTGCTGTGAGCTATAATGCCATAGCACTCTACCCAGGGGGACAGCTTGAGGCTCTGTCTCAAAAAAAAAAAAAAAAAAAAAAAAAAACTCAAGCCATCGCCAGCAAAAAGTGACAAACATTTGGAAATGAACAAGGAAAACTCACAACTTTGCTTACTCAAGGTTATACTCCCAGATAGTACACAAAGCAAGCCAGCCATAAATACAACAGGGAGATACTAGAAGTAAGAGAATCATGCAAGGGCTACGATAAGTCTCCACACATCTTTGACCTCCTGGGAAACTATATATTTACTTTAGATTTACCCTAAAGACCCATTGAAAAGTAAAAGCCAAGGAAGACTTGAGAATTGGGAATAACTTTGAATTCCTCAATCCACACACAGATAAATTGGTACAGGGAAGACTCACAAACTCAAGGTATTTGAGTACAACCTCTGCACAAATCATTGATCACTCAGCTTTGCAATTACAGAGGCAACCCCCAGAAAAGTCAGGCTAAAAATAAAAATGAGAATTTTATTTGTTTTGTTTTGTTTTTTTAAGACAGTCTCATTCTGTTGCCCAGGCTAGAGTGCCATGATGTCAGCCTAGCTCACAGCAACCTCAGACTCCTGGGTTCAAGTAATCCTCCTGCCTCAGCCTCCTGAGTAGCTGGGACTACAGACAGCTGCCACAATGCCCAGCTATTTTTCTACTTTTAGTAGAGATGGGTCCGGCTCTTGTTCAGGCTGGTCTCAAACTCCTGAGCCCTCAAAATGAGAATTTTAAAAAACAACAAAGATACAAGCAGCCACAGACCATAGGTAAGACAGATGTTAAACCTGTCTAGCCAGGTATAGTAGCTCATAGCTATAATCACAGCACTTTAGGAGGCCAAGGCAGGAGTATTGCTTGAGGCCAGAAAATTGAGAACAGCCTAAGCAACATAGCAAGATCCCATCTCTACAAAAAAATTTTTTAAATTTAACCAGGCAAAATGTGCTCTTGTAATCCTATCTACTTGGGAGGTTGAGGCAAGGAGGATTGCTTGAGGCCAGGAGTTTGAAGTTACAGTGAGCTGTGATCATGCACCACTGCAGTCCAATCTGGGCAACATAAGCAAGACCCTGCCTCTAAAAGAAAGAAAAGAAAAAAGAACTGTAAATCTAGGCAGATAACTAAAAGAAAAACAAAACAACAACCAACAACATTAATAAAAATAGCATCTACAATTGGTACCATATACTGTACAAAATATCCACTTTTAGGCTGGGTGTGGTGGCTCACTTCTATAATCCTAGCACTCTTGAGGAGGCCAAGGTGAGTGGATTGCCTGAGCACAGGGCTACTGTCTGTAATCCTAGCACTTTGGGAGACCAAAGTCAGAGGATGTCTTGAGGCCAGGTATTGGAGACAAGCCTGAAGAACTTAGTGAGACCCTATCGCCATTAAAAAAAAAAAAAAAGGGCAGCCCCTGTGGCTCAGTGAGTAGTGCGCCAGCCCCATATACCAAGGGTGGCAGGTTTGAACCCAGCCCTGGCCACACTGCAACAAAAAAATAGCTGGGCATTGTGGCAGGTGCCTGTAATCCCAGCTACTTGGGAGGCTGAGGCAAGAGAATCGCCTAAGCCCAAGAGCTGGAGGTTGCTATGAGCTATGACGCTACAACACTCTACCGAGGGTGACAAAGTAAGACACTGTCTCTAAAAAAAAAAAAAAAAGAAAAAAAAAATTTAACAGAGCATGATGGTATGCCCTGTATTCCTAGCTACTTGGAAGGCTAAGCCTGAACCCAGGAATTTGAGGTTGCAGTGAGCTATCCTGTTAAAACTCTTTTAGAAAATGGAGAAGTAAGAAACATTTCCCCATGCATTTTATGAGGCCAGTATCATCCTGGTATCAAACCCAAAGACACCACAAGAAAATAAGAGCACAGACTAATAGTTTTCATGAACTGTACATTTTGAAGGGGTTAATTTTGTAGCATATGAATTATATCTCAATAATGCTGTTATTTAAGAAAAAAGATGAAGATTTGCTAAAATATTTTAAGTATATCCCCATCCTTGAAAGAAGAGAGTATAAAAATCAAAAGGCCTGTTGCCAGTATACCTCAGAACTGGCACCTAAGGCTTGAACTCCAAACAGTTCACTGGTTCAAAGCATTGTTACATAATTGAAATTGAAGGAGAAGTTTTATTAGAGGAAAGAGCAGAAAGGAGTCTGACCAGAAGTCAGCTCCCTGTCATACAGCTCTCCAAAGAGGCTTTTATTAACCTTATCATTGTGGTTGGAATGTGGCAGGGGGTTGCTAGGTTGCTTCATTTTCTTCTGCAGAAGGACTGATCTTTGTACCAGGGGCTAATCTTTAGTGCCAACAGGAGCTGGGTGGAAAGTTACTGTTCTATTATTTCCCAGGAACACCAGCCTTGAAACATTCCAGGAGTGTGGGGAGGGGGCATCTGCTGTGATCATGCAGTTTGGCTTGTTTCCTCTAACTAGCTGTCCTCCCCAAATGGTTATTTGTTAGGGTTGTGAGAATTCCT